GATGGCCAAACTAAATCAGGCTTAAACATACCAGGTGAGATCAGACTAGCCAATTCAAGCCCTATTATTAAAAACATCCCAATTCATTCACTAAGAATATGAAAGTAGCCTTTTATGATGTTTTAATTGGTTTGAAAATTTTCAGAATTAATCTAAGCACTCAGGCACCTCATAGTAGTCTAGCATTTAGGCGGGACTAGTCGGTCGTCGATCGGGTGCCTAGTGTGATTGGTAGAACAATGATATTTATTAAAATTATTGCCCAAAATTTATAATCATTGATGTAAATAACATCAATTGGCCAAATTTTATACGATCGAGAGTATATATATATATTTGTTACGAAAATTTTGATTTACTTTAGGAATTACATATATTGATGTTTCTATTGAAGGTTTTTAAAATTCATTATAATTCAATTAATGTGTTTATATATTATTACTTTTTCTCTTTATATTTTTGTTGCATACATCAGAACAAGAAATCTTTTTCTGGTCTTTCCGTATGTTGCAACATTAAATTAATTAATTGTTCTTGTGATTGTTTAAATTTCAATTAAAACTACATTTTAATACTCACTCCGTCCCACTAAGATTGTTTTATCTTTCGTTTTCGGTCCGTCTCAATAAAATTCTCTCAAGCCAAATTTGATAAAGTTTTTGTTATTCTAAAGCATTCTTACTTTATTCTTACTTTATCAATTAAATACCAACCACATATACTTACTTTCTTAATAACAGTGTCACATCTTCATGTCTCAATGTTAATAACTGTGTCACCTCTTCAAGTCCCACATGAACTACACTTTAATACTCTCTTTGTCCTCTTCATGCTCAAATGATAGCCTGTCATGTAAGCCCTAGGATATATCTGGCCTCGCTGGAATCCCGCTCAGGTTCGAGGTCTGTTGTCCAGGCCTGCCTAGTTGTGGGTTCCCTTCGCGGGTAGAGTTTCTAGTTAGGCCGAAAGGCTATTAGTTATTATCAATTCCGATTAATGGGATGTTCCTATTGATGGGCTTTACTTCAATTCGTTCTTGGCCCATGACTATGATGCATGGTACCTTGAAAAGGTTCAAAAGAAACAATGTATGTAATTCCTAAAGTAAATCAAATTTATCGTAATAAATATGTATTCTCTTAATCCTATAAAATTTGGCCAAATTAACTTTTTAAATGTAATGGTCATAAATTTTGGACAATGATTTTAGTTGTTATCATTGTTCTATAAATTGCTTCAGGCGCCCGACTAGTCCCGCCTAGGTGCTAGATTGCTATGTGGTGTCTGAGCGTTCTGAGTATAATCTAGCTAGATAACAACATATCAAATCTGAAAATTTTCAAACCAATTAAAAACATTCTAAAAAAATTCACATTCTTAATTAGTGCATGAATCGGTATTCTTTTAATAATAGGGCTTGAATAATTTTGTTTTCTGATCTCACCTGGTATGGTCACCGATTACCAGATATAAAATTTATGTCTTAGTCTATTATCATATTTGTGAGAAATTTATTTAATAAAGAACAACCTCATATAATTTTCACACTTGGTCTTCACTAAATAAAATAAGAGTTATTATGACCAAGTTTTATTAATCGAGCGAGTATAAGATTTGTAATTAATTGGATTAATTATATAATTCTAAAAATAAATCATTGAGTAAAAGATTTACCTTTACAAATTACATTACATGTACTTTACAAAGCTCTTTGTCTAAGTTGATGTCTGGTATTTGTTCGAGATTTTTCATGTGGCGTACAGGAGTATTATACTACTAGCACGTAGTTTATTTTCAGTTTTTTTTCGAAAATAGTATATTTTAATTTGATAACTACGGAGTATTATTTATTTAAACGTAAAGGGAGTATTTTTCCAGGGCATGAGCGGATGAGCCGTATTACGTGCTCATTAAAGAGCACGCAACATGCTTAGTAAAATTTTGGGTACAAACTAAGCATACAAACGGTGGAGTCACTTTTCGTTTTGATTATTAATTTTGATTTTGAAAAATGAATATTTTTAATTATAAAAGTTGGTGACAACTCCGGTACCTATTTAAAAAACGGGGTATCGTACCTTCCATTCACTTGATTGATCCACATCATTATATTATTTTTAATTTAAATTTAAATAACTCAACTGCAATATTCTCATTAGTCCATGTGGACAAAGGTATGGTACCTAATGGGTACCATCGGTAACTTTGCCAAAAAAAAATTAAGCATGTGTATCCATAAGTTACTTTACAATTGAATGTTTTCTTTTGAATTGAAATTTACTGGTCTTATCAGGTTTAATATGTTTAAATCGGATCTAGTCTGGTTTATTTAAAGAAAGAATGGCACACGTATGATCTGGACACTTTTGAAAGACCAAAATATGAGTCGTTTTGATTTTTCTAAAAATGTGATCTAAAAAATTCAAGTCTATCGCTCCATCTCAACGAAACATCGACTCTCCTTATCCCTCTTGGAACGAACTGCGATGCATCTCCTCTGTCCAGATCTACCAGCAATCGGCGATGGAGTGAAGGAGATGACCAGCGCCGACTTCCTCGTAGCCAACACACGCATGCCGCCGTTGCCGTCTTCGTCTCAGCCACCCTTGCCGTCGTTGATGTCTTCGTCAAAGCCAACACACGTCGCTGGTGTTGTCTTCGTCGCAATCAATCCCCACCGCTGCTGATTTCTTTGTCATAGCCAACCCATGCCATCTCGTCCAGGTCTGCACTCTTCTTCTTCCCCTGACTCTGGCCGAGGCTACGTCTTGACACAGCAGAGGTTGGGGATTGAGCGTGGGAATTGGTGCGTGGAAAATGGTGCGCTGACTCTTGGTTAGGCTAATTGGGGTTAGATTGAGGCTAGGGATGGGTGGATTGGGGGCTGGAGATGGGTGGATTGGGGGCTGGGCTGGTCGGACTAGGAGATGGGGATGGTGGTTACTGGTTTGAGCATATCAGGGGGCGGGGCTCTAGGTGGAAGGGGTTGGAGCTGAGGATTGGGGGTTTTCCCGTGCTGGGTGTTGGGACGGGGAGGTGGAATGGAAGTAGGCAGTGTATGGGTAGAAGCAGTGGCGGTGGGATTGTGGTGTTCGGTGATAGCCTGGCCGGAATAACAGTGACCGGAATAATTATGTGTCAAAGCGGATTTGCGTGGAAATGTCACTACCTATGTGTCACTGTGGCCGGAGGCGGTAGTGTCACTGCGGCGGTGTCACTATGGCGGTGCACAGTGACACAGGCGGTGGCCGCAGTGACACGGGCGGTGGCCGCAGTGACACGGGCGGTGGCCGCAGTGACACGGGCGGTGGCCGCAGTGACACGGGCGGTGGCCGCAGTGACACGGGCGGTGGCCGCAGTGACACGGGCGGTGGCCGCAGTGACACGGGCGGTGGCGGCAATGACACGGGTGGTGGCCGCAGTGACACGGGCAGTGGCCGCAGTGACACGGGCGGTGGCGGCAATGACACGGGGGTGGCGGCAGTAACATTTGATAGTGACATTAAAACAGGATAGTGACATTAAAATCTGAGAATGACATTAATATGACTTTGTTGATCACTTTTTTGCTCCTTTTTAAAAGTGCTCACTTTATTGGTAATTGGTTCAAAATTAGTAATATTCAAATAAAAATCCCTTATTTAAATCTGGACTGATCTGGTGTGATCTAGGACAAAAAACATCCTAAAAGAAAACAACATTATAAAGTATACAAACACAATGACAAATAATTATATCACTTCATTAGATAAAATTCTTTAAATAATGGGCTGTAATAAATCTAATAGGACTTTAATACACGGGAATACGTGATGTGATACACCAAGGTAAACTCCTCCACTACTTCCATCATATATTCAACTCTATAAATAATTAACAAATGTTGTAATCATTACCATATAAAAACAATATAATCACAAAATTCTTATACCTGAAAAATGGTGGTTCATCTCCCGGTTTCCATGATCCAGTATGATTCATCGAAGAGATCTCAAATAAAAAGCAGAGTTGATCGATCTTTATGTCCAAGATTGATCACTCATTGAGATAATGTTTGTCGGGTCAATCAAAATCAACTTAGGATATTTTTACTTGGACATTAATTTGCTGGTCTGGTCTGGTAATGTCTGGTCTCTTTGTATTTTTATAACTATCCAAGTCTTATCTGGTCTGGTCTTGTCTGTTATGGTCTGTTCTGATCTGGGATAGATTAAAGTCCAAGTAAAAACATCCTTATTTTATACATTAGAATTTATTTAAATGTTGACTTTCTTCTCAAAGCTCTAATATTGAATTTTTTTAGATTTATGTGTATTTTTTTAAGGCAAGGGCATAGTTAACTTTATGTTGGTTGAATGTATATTAAGATCATTTTTTAAAAAATATTTTATATTAAAATAATTTTAATGTAAGGGAATCATATAATTTTATTAACACAACGTTGAATTTTAGGTATTAAATTAAATGTTTATCACATTCAAATTGAATTTTGGATGTTCAATTCTTTAAGCACGTACAACGTTTTTAGGTATTATTGACAAACTACACTTTGTATATTGACAATTCGTTTAGGTATTAAATGTTAATCACATTCAAATTTACTTTTTGGTGTTCAATTCTTTAAGCATGTACCACGTTTTTAACATTTAATTGTTGTAAACTCTTTATTTATCATTTTCATTTAATTTTATCTTCTCTTATATAACCATTAATATAGATTTTTTTAAAGTATATAAAGAGAGAGAAAATCTGTTTTTATTGACATTCTTTAGGTATTAAAAGTTTATTATCACATTCAAATTTAATTTAATTTAATTTTGGGTGTTCGATTCTTTTAGTACCTACAATATTTTTAACTTTTAACTTTACAAATTGGAAATAAGAAAAATCTTCTCATATTCGTTACTTTGAGATTTATTCTCAATTTTGTTCATTATACTTTCAATTTACATTTTCAGGGGCATCACATACAATGCAATATACCGCCCAATATATTTCTAGTGTCTCATTCCGGAATACATTTTACGATAAACGTTGTTATAACATCAAACAAATGAACGTTGGACGCAATGTATATGGATTTTGTTTGTGCAATTATAGTTCCAAACTTTTGTCACTAAGTCAATGATGAACAAAAATTATACTACAAAATAATACTACATACTAAATATAAAAAAACTAATATTGTGTCTAAACTAACTTTTAAATATACATTTGAATGTGATAAACATTTTAAATTTACATAAACATAGTTTTAATTTGTGGAACACAACACTTTTGCGGCTACAATATTGTGGTTGCGAGCTATACGCAGCTACACCGAGCCGCAATGGCGGAGAGATTTCGATTCATAGGAAATGGCTGCAACGTGGCATCATCGGTTTGCATCGGGCCATAGTATGTATCGAAACATCTGTAATAGCCGCAACCACAGATATGACCGCAATTTAAAACCTTACTATTAATTAAAGTGTAAATATATAATATATAGTGATGGTTAATTTAAAAATCATTTAAAAAATACCAATTTATAATTGGTTGTGGTTAGTTCATAATTCAACTTTGGATCCTTTAAACAATTCACAATGGGGCTGTTGGGATTATTTCGGCGTTTCAGGCCAAAATTGGCGTTTTTGACTGCTTTAGCTTTTTGAAGGATCCAAGCTAAGCCTATGCTTTTTTAGCGTTTGGCAAATGGAGGTTAGCAGTGGCGTTTTGGATGAAACCGCCAAAAACAAAAATGCTACAAATCGGAGCGTTTAGGTTTTGGCGGATTGAAACAATCATTGAATTCCACAGGTTGCCCTCTCATCTACGTTTTCTGTTGTTGCTGCAGTCACTTGAAGATCTACAGTCTCATTCATTCGGTGTCGCGCCTTCTGTTGTTTCTCTGTTTTAAAGCTCTTCAGATTTTTCTGAAAAGCTGAATAAGCCCTTCAGATCCTCCGTCTAGAACAATATAAGTTGGATCTGTTTTAATTTATACGGGTATGATATTTACCCCTTTTCAGTAGTTTATAGTTGGGAAAACTATCAAATAAGGCCTCGTACTATATCAAAAAAGTCGATTAGGCCCTCGTACTTTACAAACACTCAATTAAGTCCTCGAACTATATATTAAAAAACGTTCAATTAAGCCCTTTCGGTCAGTAAGTAACCGGTTTCCGGGTTAAATGTAACCCGTTTCCCGGCAGCCGCCGTTGCTGGGGTTCGAGCACATCATCGCCGTCGTCGCCGTTTAACCGGGAAACCGGTTACTTACCGACCAAAAGGGCTTAATTAAACGTTTTTTAATAGTTCGACGACTTAATTGAGTGTTTGTTAAGCACGAGGGCCTAATCGACTTTTTCGGTATAGTACGGGGGCTTATTTGATAGTTTTCCCTTTATAGTTTAATCCTTTTTAATTAATTTATACGTAGCTATGTAGTTTTATACTACGTACTTTTTTAGAACTCTGTAAGTCTGTATAATTATTTAATATTTATACTTTTTCAGGTTATTCTTAACATCATGACATCATATCACACATTCACACGAATGCTATGTAGTTTCAGTTTTATTATCATATACTTATTTAGTTAATTAGTTAATTTTAAAATTAGTATAACCCTAAGATCATACGTTGTAATGTTGTATTGAAAAAAATAAACATGATTAAATTTATAATGTCCTTTTTGATCTTTTTATCTACTAACCGCTACAAGAAAACCGCTAATTTATCAAACATTTTTTTGCAACCCACCAAACTAATCCGCTGGTCAAACACGCTGATCAAATCCGCTACTTACTTCCCGCTAATATAATCCGTTGACTGCTAACCGCTAACCGCTGAGTGCCAAACAGGCCCAATATCTATTCACAAAAAATGTATGTTTGTAGTTGAGTAAGAAAATGTAAATGAATGTTAGCTACACAAAACTTTTTATAAAGGGAAATGAGAAGAAATTTTGGGACATCCAAAAAAAGGAAGTGAGAAGAAGTTTATGGGATGAAAGTAGTACGTACTATCCTCCGTACGATTTTAACTCACATCGAATTGACGTGCTACCGGGGCATGCCCCGGGCTTTACACTAGTCAATAAATAAAATGTAGTCAATATAGAACATATGAATAATGTAAAATTTATAATGTTACACTTATTTAAAAACGGAGGTAGTATTACAAATTTCCCATTTTGTGTACACAAAAGTTTAATCTATTTTATACGAGTACGTTATCCGTAAGTTGGGATCAGAGATAACTCAACATGAAGTCCGATAGACTATGTGATAGCCGATACGGAGTATAAAACAAAATAATCATCCCTTCAAAATTAACATGAGGACAAACCATACTCCATAGTAGCTTAACCATCTCTTCACCTATTTAATTTTGTACGGAGTACTATTTTATAAATCTGAAAAATGAGTGGCTAAAATATTTTTGGAAAGTCCTTTAAGAATTCATTTGAATCGGATACAAACTACTTTCTCCGTCCCAATATTATCTTCATTCTTTCCCTTTTTTCATCAATCCCAATATAAACTTTTCTTTCCTTTTTTTTGCTAAGAATGTGTGATTCACAACATTTGTACTCACTTTCACTTTCATCTGCATAACTTTTGGTCATCCATTTTCCAATTTCTTAATCTGTGTCAAGTTTAATCAAGAGTTAACATTGGAGCGGAAGGAGTATTTTTTAACGCTATTGATGCTTTTAGCTAGTGCCTAGCGACATAAAAATGGTTCATCTAATGGAATAGATCGTCAATTTGTAGTTTTGATAGTACTAACTACTAATAGCCCTTGTCCCTGGTTTGTCTTCATATTTGACTTTTAACCATTTTTAATAAAGTAACAGTTGTTTAGTTAAGTTATTTAAGAAAGAGAAACAACATTTAGACCGAGAAAAAGAAATGTGAGTAGACCAAAAAATAGGGACATGCATAACATTTGGAAATATGGAGTATAATTTTTTCCATAACGTTTGTTTTTTCAAGATTAGGCTTTTCATTCTAACAAGTCAACAATGATTAAAAAAAATCTAACAACTCAACAGGGTATAAGCATTTTAATGTTATTTCTAGTTTGTATTTGACTGATATTGAATAGTTCATACTCTGTATTATTTACATTAATGAAAAAGCATAAAAAAACTATAATAAAAAATATGACCTCCGTTGCATAGGATTTTGTCAACCTGGATATTGAGTGTGAAATAAGAAAATTGAAACTGGTTAAAGTTTGTATAAAGGAGAGACAAATAAAGAGGACACAAATTCATCACTTTAAAAAAAAGTTGTCAATGTTTTTTGAACAAACAAACAAAATAAAATGAACACAATAAAATAAGTGGTTGGTCATTCCGTATTACCGTATAGTTTCCGAGTTTGGCTCAGAGTATATGAAATAGGGTTGGTAATTCCGTGCAGTTTTTGCCAAAATGAAGTCTATTAAAGGTGAGAAATAGAAATGGCAAGTGAAGAAAAAGGCATCCCAAAAATCTTGCACGCCCACCTCCTAGTCCAAAAATGGCCACAAAAAATCATCCAACTGATTCCCAAAATGGGGAGTCTAAGGAAACACAAGTTATAGTTGTGGTGGTACCATTTCCTGCACAAGGCCACATGAATCTCCTAGTCCACATGTCTAGGCTTGTTGCGTCCTATGATTTACCTGTTTACTTTCTCGGCTTGAGCGTGGACATTGTCACAACCAAAGAACGCATCCAAGGATGGAACCCGAAGGATTACCCAACTCTCCGATTCCATGAATTCCGATCACCTCTGTCATTCCAATCCCTTACCAACCCAACCAAGGAATTCCAATCCTACTCGGATATTGTGGTTTCCTCAATGAGAGCAGCCACGTATTTACGCGACCCAATCAAAGAACTTCTTTGGGAGTTGTCGAGCCAATGCAAGAGGCTAGTGGTTGTAAACGACGCCCTGATGACTACGGCCGTGCAAGACATCGTTTCGATACCAAACGCAGAGGCTTACAACTTCTATGTGGGCGCGGCTTTCCATGACGCCTCGCTCGTGTGGGAAGTTGGGCGTAAAGTTCTCCGCGTGCCATCAATTCTTTGGAAGCTAATGGGCAAGTTTATTCTTCCATCCGGGGCAATAATCCCAGACGGTCTCCCGACAACACAGAGCTGCTTCACACCTGACTTCTTGAAGTTCATTGTGGACCAAAGAAAGGGAAATAATTTCTCCAAGGGTAATCTCTACGATGCTTGCAGAGCTGTGGAGGGTCCGTATCTAGAACTACTCGCGAGATGCTTTAAGATCTTACGAAAAGGAAACGTTTGGGGAATTGGGCCGCTCAACCCGGTAGTCACGCAATCGTACGTAAGAGACGACTCAACAAACCGGCACAATAGTCTTGATTGGCTTGACAAAATGCCTCCAAAGTCTGCCATTTTCGTCTCCTTCGGGACTCTAACAATGTTCTCTGACGAACAACTAAACGAGTTGGCAATAGGGCTGGAACAAAGCGGGCAAAGGTTCATCTGGGTTGTGAAAGACGTGCTGAGAGGGGCAAATAGCAAGATCAATGTGCCCGAAGGATACGAAGAGAGAGTGAGAGGGAGAGGCCTTATTCTCCGAGACTGGGTCCCGCAGCTGGAGATATTGGAGCATCCCTCGACAGGTGGATTTTTGAGCCATTGTGGGTGGAATTCATGCATGGAGAGCATATGCAGGGGAGTGCCTTTGGCCACATGGCCTATCCAGTATGACCAAGCCCGGAACGCCGTTCTGGTGACGGATATTTTGAAGATTGGGATTGCCATCAAAGATTGGGCACGAAGGGATGATTTAATATCGTCGGTGACGATTCGTAATGTCGTGAGGAGATTGATAGCGTCTGAAGAAGGAGTGGCGTTACGGGAGAAAGCGGCAGAATTGGGCAGAGCCGTGAAGCAGGCTGCAATGCCCGAGGGAGTTTCTCGAATGGAGATGGACAATTTCATTGCTCATATTACTCGGAAAACTTAAAATTCTTTCATACCGATAAATAATACTCCCTCCGCCCCGAAATAAATGTCATGTTTTCCTTTTCGGTCCGTCCCAAAATAATTTTCTTGTTTCCTCTGTTGGCAATAATATGTGACTGATACCAATTCACTTTTTTCTACTCAAATCTCAACCGCAACTTTTACTTTTTCAACCACTTTCTTACAACTTGTGCTAAAGCAAATAAAACATTTATTTCGGGACGGAGGGAGTACATAGTAATAAAATGCTGCTTGCTTAGCTTATTGGGGTATAATTTGGCAGAAATGTAAATACACCACGCATTATATGTACTCCCTCTATTCCACAAAATTCTTCCCAGTTTGACTTAGATCGGAGTTTAATAATGGAAATGTATGGTTGTGGTTGAGTAAGACAAAATGTAAAGGAATGCTAAACATACAAAACTTTTCAAAAAGGAACATTGATAGAGTTGTATTTTTATTATGTATTATTTCTATTTTAACTAGTTTTATTTGTTGTTGTTTGGAAAATTACACACTTTTGGTGTAATTAGTTAATTTTCTTAGATAGATGTAATTTGTTTAGATTATGATTATTCTGAGCTTAAAACAGGTCAAGATCATCCAAAGGATCAAGTTTGGACCCCAAAAGATCAAGGAAAGTGCAAGGGGACAAGATAAAAAGAAGATTGAAAAAATATTTCATATACCCGGTCGAGTATAGGCAATACCCGATCGGGTATTGAGTTGATTCGGGTGTCAAAATCAGAATCTGGAGAGACAAAAGAACGTGCAGGATTTTGACTTTTTGGCTCATACCCGACCGGGTATGCCTACATACCCGACCGGGTATGTCTAGAAAAGTGATTTTCCGGAAAACTGCCTAAAATACCCGATCGGGTACCCTATATACCCGATCGGGTACACAACCATGCCACCTCCAAACACCTATAAATACACTCCTTTTCCTTCACAATAAAAGCAATCCTTTCTTCCATATACTTAAGCTCAGTTTAGAATAGTTATTTCTTATATTTTTATAGCATGTTTAGTCTCCAAATGAGGAGCTAAACTTCCATTTCTTGGTTTTGCTCTTGAAGCTTGTTGATTATTAAAGTTGTGAGTTATTTTCTTACTTTCTCCTCTTGATTATTAATTCTTCCCTTAATCTCATTCTATATTAATGTTGGAGGGTTACTAAGTGACGATTAGTTAACGTTCCGACATTAATTATTACTAGAAACGATCAACGAACCGATGGTTAATCGTTGATGGTTTCACAAGTAAGTAACTTCGGTTTATTAATGCACGGTCGTGGTTAATAAATTTAAGAAGGATTAATTTTGTTGGTTAAACCGAAACCGTTGTGTTGAGGTTATCAATCTCAATTGATTTCATCAAGGAGTTAAAGAGGTTAAATGTTACTATTATATCGGTATACGGCGTTGTTCTATATTTGATTAATAGTAAGGGTTATTAATGAGCGGTCGTTGTTAATAACTCCCCTCGATGAATTGGAGATACTCCGCGATTGAGTATTCGAGAGGGGATAAGTTATAGATATAACGATGATCGACTAAAATATATCGACAAGTGGAAAGCAGCAAGACCAAGTCCCTTCTATTCTTGAATTTATTCCCATATAACTCGTTCATCTTTGTGTTTAATTTAATTAAATCATTCAATCCTAAAACCCCCCTTTTATTTAGTAGTTCTGTATAAAAAGAGAATTATTTCCTTTCCCTGTGGATACGAATTCTACTACGCTATACTACGTATAAGTGTTAGTATTAAATATTATTTTGAGTGCACACACGACAAAGTGCACGTCAAATTTGGCGCCGTTGCCGGGGAAAGGCAATTATTTTTCTTTTTATTTTATCTCATAAAAATCAAAAACAAAAAAAATAAAAAAAAAAAGAAAATAAAAAACTTACTCTTCTATTTTCTGAGCTTACATGAGTTATGAGTGTATGGATACCAACATTTCATCCTTAGAGAGTCAAATTTCCTTCTTGACTTCTCTAATAAATGAATTTATCTTAAGCTCAAAAGCTCAAGATGCCAAGACATGCAACATTTGCATGTCTCACAGACATCTTATGGATTTCTGCCCAAAGCTTCAAGATGAATACCTTGAACAAATTAATGATGTTGGTTACGAAAGGGATGCACCTCACATGAGGTATGATCCGTTCTCCAACTCTAACATGTCTACAGAGGATATGGTCCAGGCTATTGCTACCAACATGACCACCGTGCAGAACACTATGGTGCAATTCCAAAATGAGACCAAGTCTGACATTTCAAACTTGGAAACTCAAATGATTCAAATAGCCGGAGCCGTGAGTAGACTTAAAGCAAGGGATTCGGAAAAACTTCCTTCTCAAATAGAATGTGATCCTAAACAGCAAACTTTTGCAATCACATTGACAAATGAAAAGGAAATGCAAAAGGAGATCCAGAATCCAGAAGAAGTAGAAGAAGAAAAAGACACGGAGCTCCAACTGGTCAAAGAAGAGGATAAGCCGAGCTTCAAATTTGAATTTTTGTCATTGTCATCCTTTGAGGTATCTCCATCATCTCTGGAAGCTTTAAGAGAAACTCGTAAACTTGAAAAGGACAATGACATTTCCGAAATCTTCTTCAAAATTGAGGGATCGAAAAACTTTTCATTGACCATGCTAAATGATAATTTCTTCCCCTTCCTCCCACCACATGAATCAATGAAAATCTGGATATTTGATCCTGGAAAGATTTTCAAAGTGAAGAATCGAGAAATTGAGCATTCCTATGAAAGTCCTAGGAGTGAAAGTGTGAAGAAGATAAATTATCACGATCCAAGTTTGAACGATTGAACACAATGACGGCGTCGTGCCGCGACGTTAAACGAGGCGCTTCTTGGGAGGCAACCCATGCAAGGTATGTTTACTTATTTTGTTTTATTTTTGCACTTTTCAAAAAAAAAAATCGTATCACCCCATTCGAACCCAACACCCCAAACCCTCCATAGTTACAATTTCACACTTTCATATCTTCTTCATACATCCACCAAATCAACAAACTAAACTCATATTCTTCTTATCCTCCCCACATTTTTCATTTCTATGCCAACGAAACCCACCAAATAATCCAAAATCCGAATTCCCTAACTTCACCTACACCAAGTCCGAATTCTCCTTTTCTATGACGTCTTGAAGATGATCACTAGGGACAGTGCTTTGACTAGCTTGGGGGGAGAGTTTCATGGAATACTCACTCTCATACTCTTTATTCTTGTTTAAAAAAAAGAAAAAGAAAACATAAAAAAGCTAGTTAGGTTGAAAACCCAAATGGGCAATCTAAGCAATAAAAGCAAAAAAAATGAGTGAGTAGGGGAGAAAGAAAAAAAAAGGCTAGGATAAATTAAAAAAAAAAGATCCTAGGCAAAATGAGAGAAATGAGAGAAATTATTTTTACAGGGATGTGGTGATACAATGATGAAGAGGAACATGGAAAGCATAGAAGACAAGTAAACCCAATATCATGAAGTGTGTACTGCATAAGTGGAATCATTTCACTTTGTAAAACACATTTTAAACATTACTTGGTTGTCTTTTGCTTGTTCATGATTGTTTAAAGTGTTGATGAAACATTGACTTTACTTGAGGGCGAGTAAAGAAACTAAGCATGGGGGAGTTGATAGAGTTGTATTTTTATTATGTATTATTTCTATTTTAACTAGATTTATTTGTTGTTGTTTGGAAAATTACACACTTTTGGTGTAATTAGTTAATTTTCTTAGATAGATGTAATTTGTTTAGATTAGGATTATTCTGAGCTTAAAACAGGTCAAGATCATCCAAAGGATCAAGTTTGGACCCCAAAAGATCAAGGAAAGTGCAAGGGGACAAGATAAAAAGAAGATTCAAAAAATATTTCATATACCCGGTCGGGTATAGGCAATACCCGATCGAGTATTGAGTTGATTCGGGTGTCAAAATCAGAATCTGGAGAAACAAAAGAACGTGCAGGATTTTGACTTTTTGGCTCATATCCGACCGGGTATGCCTACATACCCGACCGGGTATGTCTAGAAAAGTGATTTTCCGGAAAACTGCCTAAAATACCCGATCGGGTACCCTATATACCTGATCGGGCACACAACCCTGCCACCTCCAAACACCTATAAATACACCCCTTTTCCTTCACAATAAAAGCAATCCCTTCTTCCATATACTTAAGCTCAGTTTAGAATAGTTATTTCTTATATTTTTATAGCATGTTTAGTCTCCAAATGAGGAGCTAAACTTCCATTTCTTGGTTTTGCTCTTGAAGCTTGTTGATTATTAAAGTTGTGAGTTATTTTCTTACTTTCTCCTCTTGATTATTAATTCTTCCCTTCAGGGGCGTAGCCAGAACGGATGTCTACCCTGGGCCGACTTTACACTAAAAACATTATATAAAATTTTTAAAAGTGACAATATTGAGAGCATAACGATTAAAATTCATTTAAATTCATAGTAATATTTTGAAACAATACATACAATGTTTGAAACTAAAACGTTAATTGAACACGACACTCTTTGACCTTAGCAAACTCATTTATAACTAAAACGCTCTTTGACTTATTATGAGGTGATGAAGATGATGTATCAAGATGCGTAAGAAACACTCATTCTTTACCATTATAGACTCGTTTCCAACCAAATAAATTCTTTGAACCAAGTGTCTTGAAAACGACGTATCTTATCTTTGTATTCTCGACCTTTGTAAAAGTTAAGTTTCGGTTGATAAGGTCCAAGTACCAAATAAGATCGTCTAATTCCATCCCTTTTCTCTAGCATTCAATCAGTTATCGTTTTTCATTTACCCGGATCCCGCTAAATTACAAGTGCATCGGAAACTAGGCTTATAAAACGAACGCAATGTGATTTTTACCTTTTTGGAAGTAGATTGAGTAGCCATACCTATTCAACTTAGCAAAAAAATTGAAAACTAATCAATATTCTATTTTAATTCATATAATTGAATATTAATATTTTAAAAAATTCACAAATAGCATTTGACATTCCTAAATTTTCATTTCACAATTCAAAGCACACAAATCAATTGTGACACACTAACTCACTAACACAATTACACAAACTAAAATACTGTAACAAATAAAATACTTAAATGAAAATAAAAATTGTAAAAACAAAAAACCAAAAAACTTAAGTTGAAACCCTTACCTTGGCACTTGGCAGCTTGGCTGTGAGCCTGTGGCGAGTCTGGACTCCTCCAGAGAAGCAGGCAGCAGCCGACGAGCAGCGGAGGGTGGGCGTCCGGCCTCCGGTGATGAGAACGGCGAAGAGGGTGAGCGGCGGTTCGGCGGCGTCCGGCCTCCGGTGATGAGAACGGCGAAGAGGGTGAGCAGCGGTTCGGCGGCGTCCGGCAAATCGTTGGAGCGAGTATGGCTGCCTTCCTGACTTCCGAGACCTGAGTTCTGAGACGTGCTTGACAGCTTGAATGCTTGAGTTCGTATGCGGATGTCCTCTGGCCTGCTCACTACTGTGATTCTTTTCTTTAGAATAGCACTGAACCGCTTGTTTGCACTGGGCCTGTTTTTCTTTTTTTTGCACTGGGCCAAATTCTAGAAAATATTTTAAACCATATATATAAACAAAAAAAAAAAAAAAAATGCCCTGGGCCATGGCCCAGCCAGGCCACCCCCTCCCTCCGCCCCTGCTTCCCTTAATCTCATTCTATATGAATGTTGGAGGGTTACTAAGTGACGATTAGTTAACGTTCCGACATTAATTATTACTAGAAACGATCAACGAACCGATGGTTAATCGTTGATGGTTTCACAAGTAAGTAACTTCGGTTTATTAATGCACGGTCGTGGTTAATAAACTTAAGAAGGATTAATTTTGTTGGTTAAACCGAAACCGTTGTGTTGAGGTTATCAATCTCAATTGATTTCATCAAGGAGTTAAGGAGGTTAAATGCTACTATTATATCGGTATACGGCGTTGTTCTATATTTGATTAATAGTAAGGGTTATTAATGAACGGTCATTGTTAATAACTCCCCTCGATGAATTGGAGATACTCCGCGATTGAGTATTCGAGAGGGGATAAGTTATAGATATAACGATGATCGACTAAAATATATCGACAAGTGGAAAGCAGCAAGACCAAGTCCCTTCTATTCTTGAATTTATTCCCATATAACTCGTTCATCTTCGTGTTTCATTTAATTAAATCATTCAATCCTAAAAAAACCCTTTTATTTACTAGTTCTATATAAAAAGAGAATTATATCCTTTCCCGGTGGATACAAACTCTACTACGCTATACTACGTATAAGTGTTAGTATTGAATATTATTTTGAGTGCACACACGACAAAGTGCACGTCAAACATGAAAAGATTTTTGAGACATATCAAAATGATAGTGAGAAAATTTTTATGGGACATACTTACACAAATGATTTCCATTCTCCACTGGCCCACCGGACAAATGGTGTACCTAACATTTTTCTATAAATAACATTTTAATGAGGGGCCACAATTAACTAATGCGTAGTAATAATAAAAATACTATATGGGACCTATTTCCTAAGCTATTCCTAAGCTTCAACGCAGCAGAAAGAACACCAGCACTTGAAGCTTCGTATAACTTCTTACTTCTTTATTTGGTTTACCTTTGTTTTTGAACAAGTTGGGATACATTATACGTAGTATACACATGTAAAAATGACAATTAATTAAATTCTTCACTCAATTGAACCTTCAAAATAAAAAAAAAAGGCGAGATTTGTTCAAATAGGAGTAAATTAATGTCATTTTCTAAAACAAGACCTAATGACTTATTCAAAAAAAAACAAGACCTAATGACTAATGTTTAAAATTCCTTAAATATCGTGCTATTAATTACTCACTATATACTACTTTGTTTAATTCATTATTGTGTATCACGTTTTGAACATATTTGAACTCTAGTGTTGCGGTTGAATAAACTTTCTAAATGATGATTCGAAATATATGTGAGTAAAGTTTGATTATTAATATTAATTTAAATATCATTGTGAGATGGTTAACTTTAAATACTTCAGCGAAATCTCAAATCCAAATAGGACATGTAAGTTGCATTGGCCTCAATGGACGGGTATAATTCTATTGAGAATGGTACAAGAAAGAATGACAAAATCATCCTACATCATTGCAATACTTTGTAGAAACATCTTTTCCCGCTCAAGCATTGCAGCCGCTTCAGCCGCATGATTTCCGTCACTCAAATGTACGGCTCAGATCAGTTTTCTGTTTATTTGCTCAGCAGTTCCATCTCCCCTTTTTCGGTCTCTCCAGGACTTAGATGACCTAAACCCGATCAGTCCTTTCTTCCTTCATCGAAAATATTATCTAACAAATCGATCAACCGTAGTCGCATGGCCTACTTCAATCTCACTCAGTTTCTCATCTCTCATGGTCTAAGGGCTTCATCCCTCTCCCAAACAAATCCAACACTCGTAGATGCCGAAATTGCAGAGGAACCGGGAAAAACAGCAGAGGAAGACGACGCCATGGTTGCAATCGCTCCTCAGGTTCTCAACCCCCCCCCCCCCAGAAAGAAATTGAAGAGCAATTGGGAGAAAACGCAGGCGAAGACTGGGGTGAATCATATAGCTCATTCGGATTTCACAGACCTTTGTCGAAGCTCAATTGATTTGAGACTTCTCTCTATTAATTCGTTCATGGTTACAACATATATCTTTCACAGGTAATTTCACTTCCACACAATTTCATTCTCATTCCGTTTCATTATTTTAATGTATGGTTGTTATTCTCATCGATTGTATTGGATCCCTTTTTATTATTCTCATTCTATCCCACTTTAGGGTTTGTTCGAGTTATGGCCAGAAGATTATTTTCACAAAATCTGGACTTTATTGGTAGATAACATAATATAATGATCAGTAGAGAAATATAAGTGGTTTCATTCTGCTCTTATTTCCATTTCACAACTACTGATTTTTCATAAAAATTTTCTTCATTTTTCATTTCAATTTTTCTTCATTTTTCATTTCAATTTTTCTCCTCATCCTAACTCATATCAATTTAACCTTTTTTCTTCAATTTACATGAGATTCAACTCATACCAATTCAATTTTTTTTTTTTGCTTGAATGTACACAAGATACACAATCTTAAGACTGGGAGATATTTATTTATACCAGAAGGTGTATGCTTTAACTTTTTCCAAAATTTTGATTTAATCCATATATTTCATGGTTTTCATATAAAGTCTGTAGGAATATGTGCAGAGAATATATCATCAGATCAATTCATTCACCCCCACCCTATTTATTAAGTTTGCCTGCAAATAACTTTAATCATTTATGTTGTATCTCTAACTTTGAGCATACGACATTACTTTATATCGCCCTGTTAATCATTGGTTTATAACTTCTTTATGAGTTGTTCTAATAATTTGTTAGTTTTGTTCAGGAAAGTGTGCATGTATTCACACAAGTGATTTCCTTTCAGAGAAAATATAAAAGACCATTCTTCAAGTCCACTACAGAAAAATAGCTGAAAGCATCCACATGCAAGAGTGAGTTCTCTGTTCTCCATTCCATTTGTGCAAACAAGGTTGTGAATAAATCTGCTCCTTCTCAATTACTCATTCAGGTATATCCATTCACCCCTGCCTAATGATACCCCATATTCACTTTTAGGCACCTAAATTCTAAAGCCCGTAAATCCTCCCTTCAGATCAACTCATTCACCCCCACCCTATTTATTAAGATTGCCTAGACTCTAGAGTGTAAAAGTGTTAAGTATTAGTTTTCCATATGTTTGGCCTGCCGTATATGATTCTTACAGGTTTATGACTACTTTGTTTTAAGATTGAAAACTCCATTGAACTTTAAGAATCATCTTAGCAAGGTTGATCAATAAGTGTAATAGTTTAGTTTATGAATCGAAGAGCAAAAAGGTCTTTTTCATTTTTTAAGAATTTGCTTAATTTTCTTTGTTTAAGACTTTAAGATGAACTAATTTTTTTAATGCCTATTTTGTTTAAAACAATTCCTTTTTTATTTCTTTATTACTTTATCGCTTTTTCACCTTTAGCCTAAAACTTAAGAAGAATAAGAAAACAGAGGGTAAAGAAGCAAGGGAGTGAAGGACTGATTATAGAAGTGTAGAAGGGATCAATACCTAATTTAGATCATGGGGGACTCATTGCTTCAGATGATTAAGCCATGGGTATATTAGCATGTTAGTTTCCCTCATTGCACATCATTTATTAGTTCCTAAAGACCTAAATTGAACTATGCTTTTAAAGTACAATTTGCACCTATATCATTGGGAAGTGAAGCGTGTTTTCTCCATTTAAAACATAAACTTCGCATATTCTGATCTAATTTTCCCGGGTTAAGTATGAATACATCCCATTGAGGTACGAGCAATATACTTTTGAAGTACTTATCATTCTTATTTATTTATTTATTAGATTTATTACATGTATTTTCAGTGAAAAGACATATTCCACTTTAATCGCATTTACCTTTCCTTCTTTACTGTATGAATAGATCCCTCTGAAGTACAATCAATAAATTTTCTATTTGCTTTTCCCCAGGTGAGTTCCTATTAGTTTAGAAACGCAGAAAAAATGGTTATTGCATCTCTTAGAAAGTTGTTCAAGTGCTTATGATGAACTCAAATAGCCAAAATGGTCTTCCCTATCCTACGGTAAGTATGAATAGATCCCTTTGAAGAACAATCAATATACTTCATTTGTAACTTTTGGTCTGATGCCTCTATCCCGGTGTTGACTGTTGAGAGTATTCTTAAAAATTGGACATGAAAGGAGTTAGCTAATGTAGTGGTGTCTACCTGCTAATTCAATTGCGAGTACAATATTATATTTAGATATAGATATATGGCTTCCTCAGATGGCTTATTTCTATTAGTTATTTAGTTATAGGTAATTTTTCCTATTTAACATGCTTCATGCCACCTTAAGGTGTTGCTAAGTGTCCTGTTTAAAGAGTTACCTTATTGGGTTTGAAGGTCACATTGTCTATTAGGTATTTCTATAATGTATCTGAAAGCCTTCGATATGAAAGTGCAGACAATTTGCTTACATAACTTTCTTTATGTTTCCCCTCTTGCTCTTCCTCCTCCTCCTCTTCAGATATCGTCTGTTTTTCCGTATTAAATCTTCTCAATAGTGAATCATATCAATAATCGTCAAATAAAATCTTTATTCGGTGTCTACATGATGCAAATCTGCAATTTCTCCTCACTCGAATTTGTTGGCAGATACTGTTTTGTTGTTAATAATTGGTATTGTTATTTCAACAGGGATTTGTTGTTTCTATTGGGTTTTTGTCTTCTATTACCCATTGAGGTTTCTATTGAACTAAATTATCTCAAAAAATGCCTATTTTTGTTGACAGATCTTCCTGTATAGTCTTCAAGAAAGCCGGGAAGTTGGTGAAAGGGCACACAAGATATTGTTTATATTGATCTTGCTCATTTCCCAAATTTACCAATGTTTCATATACTACATGGTTTGGAGGTAATGACACCTCAAATATGATTTCATTATTATGGATCACACTTA